CAAAAGCAGTTCACCATAGTTAGCCCTCTGCTGTCTGAATGCTCCCTAGGAATGTTGCCCACGTTAGCAGTCAGTAGTTGCAGGGAGAGTCACTCGCTCATGCAGGCTTTTCTCCTGTTGGTCTGAGACTTTTGCTAAGGCCCTCCCTTTGTTTCTCTGGGTATGCTTCCCACCTTTTTGTCCTGCAAGGTGGGGCATGGAACAGGGGCTGGTTATCTAGAATAGGCAACCCTTTTATACCAGACAAAAGCCTTAATCTTAAGGCAGGGGAGGGAGTAGAAAGTGGGGAACTTGAGTTCCACCAACGTCCTGGAGTTTCCTTTTCAAAGACCTTAAAACAGCACTTCCTAAATCAACTGAAGGCTCTTCTTGAGTTTCCCGGAAATGGTGCGAGTCCCAGCCTTTCTATTTCTACCACCACATTAAGATCATGGTACATAAGAAGTTGAGTAATTGCATGTGAAGCCTTCCTCCCTCTATGTAGCTGGTTCAAACCCAGCCTGGGTCAGTGCTGACCCAACAGCCTTATCAGTAGACAGATGTTCGAGGGTTATGGGCAGTGAGATGTGGCTCTCTGTCCAGTTCTCAGTGTGCAGGTCTCAATGTCACCCAAAACAACGTTACATTTAACACAAATTGGCAGGTGTGTTCTCAACAGAGAGGGTAATGGCTGAATGGGCATGAATAGGGCCCTACCAAATGCATGGTCCATTTTGGTAGATTTCATGGCCATAGCATTTTAAAAATATTGAATTTCACAGTTTCAGCTATTTAAATGTTAAATTTCACAGTGTGGTAACAGAGCATGAAGAGGTATTTAAAAACGGCAAAGCATATGTAAAGCCCAGACTGAGCATTTCTCACACTGGGAGTCCCGACCCAAAGGGGGGTCACAAGGCAGCGCCGCCACCAGCAGCAGCAGTACAGGAGTAAGGGTGGCAATACTGTGACCCCTCCCCCTGATGATAGCCTAGGGTGGTAAAAGTACACAAGGCCAGATTTCATGGGGGGCACCAGATTTCATGATCCTTGACACGTTTTTCATGGCCATGAATTTGGTACGGCCCTAGGCATGAACCAGTCATTTTACCCCTAGAGGTGCTTCTGTTTGCTTTGTACCTGCCCTATGGATACACAGAGGAATTTCAATTGCCCTGTCCATGCACAAAAATGGTACAGCTTTAACCATACTATTGGAGTTTAAGTGGTACGACCCGCCTAGTATGGATGCAGTTTTATCTACCCCGGTGAACTCATTCCTGTATGGAAAAGGGCATCGGCTACACCAGTATAAGTCTTTATACTAATATAACCGTAGGCATGCATGTTTAAGAAGCTTAATTTAAAATTAAATTAAAATGCAGAGCCCCCCCC